AAAGAAATTTACCAAGACCGAGTGCTGCATCATAAGGCCGAAGTTTTCATATTCATGCAATTCAGCCATACGGTTCATATCTTCTGGTAAAAGAACAGTCGTTGACAGGGCTGCCCCGACTTCAATATGTATTGCGCTGTCGCCAGCTGTCAGGGGTCTGTCATCCACCATGACCTCGAGAGCCCAGGTCATATTGTGAGGGAAGCTGTGGCTACCCTCAGGTTGGTCAAACCTCGGCCTTTTGGGCGGTTGGGAGTCAGATGCATCAGCCTCGGCTGGCCTCTTCTCGGCGGCTGTTTGGCTCTTCTCTACCTTAGCCAATTTCGAGATTGGCACAGTGTCCTCAGAATCAATCTGAGTCACTGTGGCCTTAGTCTTGGTTCTTTTTACCCTCTTCGGTTTTGATTTGGTCTGGGATGGAGATGAGGAGGATTAAATAGATACCACCCCTGGAAGGGTAGCAAGGAGATCTTCAACAACTGCTGGTTTACAGCCCATGTCGTCAGATGTTGCAGCAACAGTAACCTTGGCATTGAAGTGAATTGCTGGAAATACAGTTGGTGGATTTTCTGGGTCGTACACCGAGGAGATTGATTCTCGGTGTGTACGGTTGCGAGTCCTGCCGGTTGGAGTGTTTGGTGGAGCTTTACTTTGGTGTCGGCGCTAAGACGGTGGGATTAATTGAGTTGGAGCAGAAGTAGAGGGCAACTTTACTAGCTCTGATGAAGAGGCCTAGTCTAGCCTTGAGGATGGCACAGATGGTGGAGTGGTTACAGATGAGGAAGGTTTGCTTCAGCGGAGAACGTCGGGCAAGGCAGATTTGTACGTCGAGATGTAGTCAAGTAGTAGTGGGGCCTTACGCTTCTTGATAGGAAAACTCAACAACTTTTTTAGGTCTTTGCTAGGGAAGAATGTCTGGCAAAAGTCTTTCGCTGGCTGAGGAAGAGTTGCAAATAAAAGAAACATTAGCATGAACAAATGAAGGTTAACAAGTTTTAGACAGAGATAAAGTTGGTAAGTAGCACAGTTCTTACCCTCATACTCTCTAAACACTTCTCGGCGCAATGGGAAAAGATGAAGATCGTCATCTGGTGCAAACTCCCAGTTGCCCGAGACGATCAGATAGTCATCCCCAACACCCTTGTTGGAGTCAGGAAGGTCGGCTACGATTTTATAGGCGGTGGATCTGGGCTTGAGGTAATAGGTGTATCCTTTTTCAGACTTAAGGCCGCACATGGTGTAACAAAACTAGATATCTGCTAGCGTAATCCTAGCATTTTCTCGGTGTGCCAGTTCTATGATGCCATTGATAACCCCGTATGAGTTGATGGCTAGTTGCATGGGATTGAGCTTATAATAATAGAGGATTTCCCTAAAAAGGATGTCTAGGGGAAACCTGAGTCCACACTCTACGAAGACAACTACTGGGAAGGGTATAAGATTACCATTAGGCATAATGGAGTCCTCTTTCCCAGCCAATCTCATTTGAACGTCGGCTGGGATAGAGAACTCTCTCCTAAAGTTCTCAAGTTTCTTTGGGGTGTCTACCCTCCACTTAAACATGCCTATAGCGTCGGCTTAAATGGAAGATAGAACAAAATTTCAGAAAAGAATATTTGGTATGGGTTTAAAAACCTTGGCTAAACCTTAAACTGGTATCGGAGCTAGGATTTTGAAGATCTAAAGGGATCTTGTTTTGGTTTTCCTAAGGAATAAGGTTCTAAATCAAATTCCAAGCCTAAGTCTATACGGAAACATGAATCAAAGTCAAGAATCTGGAAACAAAGCAAGAAGACCAGAAAAGAAATTCAAAAATCAAGGGTGAAATAGAAAAACAAGTGTGTACATCCAAAACTTCAAGACATTGAGTGAGTGTGTGAAGAACAGTGTGCAAATGACTTAAGCAAAAAACATGATTGGCATTTTCGAAAGACTATATAGATTCAAGATTCAAGAACAGGAAATTGATTCATAATCGAAGAAAAAACAGATTGCAATCATGCAAACGGATTCAATAGCAAACAAAATAGACATATGGTAAAGAAGGAACATATTCAAAATAATGGAGGGCTGAAACTGAAATTGAAAGAAGCTAGAAACTCACTAGTTGGGTCCCAGGTTGAGGACACCGGCTTGAGGTTTGCTGGAGTTAGATGGTGACGACGAGTGGAGTAGGACAGTAAATGTTTTGCTAAAGGGGGTAAACGGAGCACAGATGCAGAGAGCTTGAAGAAACAACAATAGAGGTTGGGGAAATGTTAGAGAGAGAAAAACTTGAGCATAGAGAGAACGCAAGAACACAAAGTGAGAAGAGAGAGAGAGAGAGATAGAGAGAGAGAGAGTTTTTAAAACTCAAAAAGACGACAAAAGGAAATGAATACACCTTGGATGACGTGTTTGTCAGGTGGCGTGTGCAGAAGCGACGCGACCTGGTGGTGCGTGTCAGGTATGAACTAATGAGAAAAAGACGCGTGGCGGAAACGGTTAAGAAAATCTTGCGCGACAGCTCATACACAGATTAAACTCTTGGAGTTCTTGATTTAATGAAGCAGAAACCTTGGCTAGAGGAGCGATCTCGGTTAAGGAACTTGAAGAACTTGGTTATTGGTTCTTGGTCATTGATGAGGTAGACTGTAGAGTCTTGGTCATATGAAGTCGACGAGTGATGATCTCGGTCGTGAAGGATAGAGTAAGTCTTAGCCGACATAGTACTTGAACGAACAATGTAGGTTCCATCACCTCAGGATGTCGAGGTAATAGAACCTAGGGAGCAGTTGTGGGGACATATTTTGTGAATGACAACACGTGGCCGAGGTGACGCCAACGTGTCAGCCAGAGTGCCACGTGGCTTGGTCATGTGCGAGATGATCTCGGCTAGGCTGAGATTATCTTTGGAGATATCGAAATCCGAGATGAGCGGATAAAGGACAAGAGTCGGGAGGATCTCAGTCTGGATATAGATAAAACTCTTAAGGAGTTTATCTCTATGTAACTGGGAGTCCAAGATGAGCATTGAGCAAAAGTCCATTGAAGCTAGGCTTCTACAAGGATCAGGTTAGTGCTGGCTATAAACGTAAGACACACTCGTGGGTCTAAGGTTGGTTTTTTATGTTCTGTTTAGTGAGTTAAGCACTATTTGTTATCTTTGAGAGATAGTGATCATTGACTTGATCGTCGGAGTGCTCCCGGGTAGACGAACCATTGCCGGGCTTTTATCTTTCTGTGACAGGTTGTTCGGGCTTAATCTATTCTGTCGGTGCTCTCCTGCTGGGTATTCCCTGTTTGGTTGTGTGGTCAGAAATCAACACCCACAGAGAAAATTGATAGTGAGGGAATTAAGTAAAATTGTATTTATTTGGATGATAGTTATTGGTGTAGGGATTGTTAAATTATTTTTATATAAAATAATAAAACAAATAAAAAAATATAAAACATTAAATATTAATGTTCAAAAAAATGCCCAACATGTAAAAAATAAAAAACTTTCAAAAAAAATTAAAACAAATAAAACAATGATTTTTACTTAACCAAAAATATAAAAAATTAAACATTAATCTTCAAAAAAAATGCCTAACTTGTAAAAAATAAAAAAATAAAAAAAATAGTCCAGCAAACTAATTTCTAATACCAAATCCCATAGGCCTATTACAATCCCCTTCCTAAAGGGATTCGTAGTCCGAAGGAGATTACGAATCCCTCTCAATCTCTCAAAATAAACATAATATTAATAAGTTCCAACATTACTATGAATCTCAACCTCCTCCCTACATAACTCAAAATAAATTGGCCTTAGTCAAATTCACACATCACCAAAATTACTAAGAAGTTATTAGTCCATCTTTGATAGTTGCCTTCACACAAACCAAGTTACTAGAAGATGGGCAGCCAAATTAATAAAAAGTTAAAAAAAATAAATTAAAAAAATAGGTAAATTACACTTACCTTCCCAAGAGATTTTTAACAAATATAGAGGTTTCCTCTGTAATTTCAATAATTCACTACAGGAAATATGAGTTTAGGTGGCATTTTTTTTACGGGTTTTTTTAAAAGCCACTGTTTCTAATATTTAACAGCATTTTATAAACGTGTTATTTTTGTCTAATTGAAACGGCGCCGTTTTATGAATAGGAGGCATTTATAAACGACTTGAAATGTGTGTTGTCTCACGCGCTTCCTTTTTCAATCTGTGAATCTCAACTCTCAAATTGAACCGATGCACTCGCAAATAATGTACTCTCTCTCTCTGCTGTCTAAACCCTAATTATCACAAAGATTCAGTTGCTTATCAATGGAATCCTCAGAAATCGAAGTTCTCTCTCGAAATTGAAGTGATTCATCAAAGCAATTTCGAAGTTCATCTCAGCGATTCAGATCTCAAAATCGAAGTTCATATCTCGAAATTTTAAAATTCTGAGTTCATATCACTTCGATTTCATATTGTGATTCAAATCTGAGTTCACATCACTTCAATTTCGATTTAGATCTGAGTTTATATCACTTCGATTTCGATTCAGATCGGTCTCAGTGATTCATATCTCGAAATCGAAATCGAAGGTCACCTCAGCGATTCAGATCGGTGAGCTCCATTCTCTCTCTCTCTTTCTCTCTCTTTCTCCCTCTATCTCTGTGTTGTCTAAACCCTAATTATCGTAGAGATTCAGCTTGGTGATTCAGAGGTTCAGATCGATCTCAGCGATTCAGATCGGTGATTCATTAGAGTGATTTCAAAGTTCTCTCTCAAAATCATAATTGAAGTTCATCTCAGCGATTCAGATCGGTGAGCTCCACACTCTCTCTCTCTCTTAAGGTGAAATCAATCCCGTGATATTCTATGAATGGTTTTGATATTTAATTTGAAATGATCCTGTCATATCCCTCATTTATCAACCTATATGTATTGACCTTTTCTCATCTATAAAAATTATACTAATGCCCTATTCTAAAAATTATGGGTAGGTAAAAAAACCCTGGTTCTGATTTCTATATTAAATGATTTGCAGGAAGAGATAGAGCTTGGACTTTCCAATGTAAGAGTTCAATCATTTCCTATATCATTCGCTTCTCCTTCAACTTTATTAGTGTTTCTAAAGATACAAGCACAAGAACCTTATTCTTGTTTTGTTGATTTATTAAATATCATGTCATTGCAACTTTATTACTTTCGTTTTTGTAATACATCCTTTTTCAATTGTAGTAAAGTTATTATCAAGTATATCCATCCTTAATGTACTGCTAGTTGTCTATATCTACTATATATGTCTGCTGCTTAACATTTGGCCAAGATTATTTTCTAGACATAGGCTTGGTTATGTTGTGCTAAAATATGTTCTTTCGATTGGGAAGACTTCCTAATATTCCGGTATGAAAACTATGTGCAAAATGTAATGTCCTTCAATAGGAGAACGTAATGTCCTGTGGTGATGTTCTATGAGCTTATAGTTTTGAGGGTTTATTTGTCGAAACAAATGGCAGTTGATGCCATTCTTGACATGATAGAAAGATGGCTTCTTATCCTCTCATCGGTTGGTTCGAACGCAAGATCGCCACCATGGGTATTTTTTTGGTGATTTTGATACGATTTCTTATTGGATTGTTCTGTTTGTGATTCCGTTTTCTAACGTGGTTTCCATTGATCTGGTTATTGAAAAAATGGAAATCAAATGCTATTATTTATTTATTTTTTTTTAATGGGGATCACTAGAGCTTAGATGTTAGTTTTCGTAGGTGTTGCGATTGATGTAAAATATATTATTATCACTTGAATTTTTAGCACATGATGTAGTAACGGCTGGATTGGGAGTTTTGTTGAGTGAAGAAAAGAAATTGAGAGAAAATAAATCTCTCATCACTTGTTGAATGATTAAAGAGATGAGAGAACTATTGAGAAACTGATGAGAAAGAGCAATATTTTAAAACTTAAGTTTTATTGACACCAAAATTGCTCTTTATAAATTTTTTTACAATTATTCTAATACAAAATAAGTAAAATTTTATGACATGTGTCCTTTTTATCTATTTATTTATATGTTGATAATTAGTGCACTATGCCAAAGTTACGTGTGACCCCAATTTTTCCTCTCATGAGCACACACTAATGTATACTAATTATGCCTTGTTTTTTTTTTTTTATGTTGATAAATCACAATCATTTATTTTCTTTTTTCAAACTCATTTATATGTTATTTTTCACTTCGCTATCCAAATGGGGCCTAAATGGTGTATTGATAATTTTGTTATACTAGATGATGAATAGTTTTTTGTTTTTTTGTTTTTTTTTTGATGGATTTGCATTATATAAACCCAGTAGTAGTGATTTGGTTTTAAATTTTTTTTTTTTTATGTTGATAAATCACAATCATTTATTTTCTTTTTTCAAACTCATTTATATGTTATTTTTCACTTCGCTATCCAAATGGGGCCTAAATGGTGTATTGATAATTTTGTTATACTGGATGATGAATAGTTTTTTGTTTTTTTTTGATGGATTTGCATTATATAAACCCAGTAGTAGTGATTTGGTTTTAAATACTTGTCAGAAACAAATGAATACATTACTTAACATGGACTAAAGTTTTATCATAGTTTTGTGTTGAATTTTCATGTTTTTTTCTTTTTCTAGTTGCTTCAAAGTTATTGTACTCAAAGATTTTGGATTTTGAATTAGGTTATTATGCTACTGGTGCAAAACCATTTTAGGTGGTATTTGATCTCATTTTACTGCTAACCATTGGTTTTTTTAGTTTTGGTTCAAATGAGTCACTTTTAAAAGTTGTGATTGGCTATATGAATGCATTTTTTATGTTTTTACTGTATGTGTTCAGCATCTGAGAGTGCTTCCAAAGGAATTCTGACTAGTCTTCCCAAGGCAGGAGGTGGTGAGTTTGGAAAGTTCTATAGCCTACCAGCACTGAATGATCCAAGGATTGGTAATTTTCTTACTATCTTTTTAAGGTTTTGATCAATATAATTTTTTTTTTGGTTCCTTCGCTGATATTCACTGCATGAATAATATAAGTAGCTCATAAAAGGAAAAAAAAAATTGAAAAAACGGAAAAGAAAGAAAGAATAAGTAAATTACCTTTTATTTTAAAATCAGTTGCCAACTTGCCATGTTGCATAAGATTTTATTTTTATTTGAAATGATTTCTTCTTTCCCTGTTACATTGTAGTTTTATGTATAATTTTGAGCCATTTTTTAATATTGTTTTTGGATTCCCAACTAAAATTGATTATATTTATATTATAAGTCATAAGATTTATATAGAGCAATGAAATCTTTAATTATACTTTTTTAGACACTTTCTCATGGTTTTTGGGTTATGAGGTCTTCTTTTTGTTGCACAAATGACTTACCAAACATTTCTTTGTTGCCCCTGTATCATAACAGATAAGCTGAAATGTGATTAACTATACATTTCTCTATCACTTTAGTATTATTTCTTGTATATACATATTACATGCTTAAATAAGAATTATGTAGTCACATATGATTAACTATATCTGGATTAGATGGAGGTTGGGGTGGTATATTCTGAAACCTGAAATGTGTGTTAATGTTAATATGATGCTATGTTGCCTTTTAATCATGTCAAAGTCAGGCTTTTCCTTCATCCTCTCCCTTCTTCCAAGTTTTTGAAATCCACCCATTGCCATTCACAATCCTGAAAGGAACACACTTGAGCCTTTTGTTTTCATCTGATGCTTTTTAGTTTTTTTGATATGGTCTCCCTTATACTTGTATGTTCTAATAAAATAATGTAATGTAGGGACTTTGTCAGCCCATTTAACTGCTTAGCCCAACTTCTAATTGCGTGCGGTTCTTTGAACATATGAGTCATGCTGCTTTATACTGCTTTTGAAAATTAGTGCATTGAAGAGTTCTGCATTTTGGTTTTCTAATGCTATATTTTTCGCAATGACAGCCAATGAGTATGGTGTTACCTGGTGTAGTTGGATTCAAGTTGTCTGGAAAATTAAACAATGGTGTCACAGCTACTGATTTGATTTTAACTGTGACCCAAATGCTAAGGAAGCATGGTGTTGTTGGCAAATTTGTTGAGTTCTATGGTAATAAAAATTTAAGCCTTAGTAATTTTCAACTGCCATGATTTCGTCCACAACCGGTTTAACTCACTAATATGTCCTTCATGTAGGAGAAGGCGTGGGTAAAATATCATAAGCTGACAGGGCCACTATTGCCAATATGTCTCCTGAGTATGGTGCAGCAATGAGGTTCTTTCCTGTTGACAAGGTTACTTTGCAATATCTGAAATTGACTGGAAGAAGTGATGAAACTGCAAGTATTTTCAACCTTCATGTGTGTGCATAAATCTAATGACCATGATGTTTGATGTATGTCTCATATTATTGCTTTTATTTAAATTTTCACGAGGTTATACTTATTTGTGTTAAAATTCAGGTAGCAATGATTGAAGCATATTTGCGTGCAAATAACATGTTTGTTGACTATAATGAGGTAAGACTTTCTCTCTTTCTCTTCTCATAATTTACTCCTGTAAGTTCCATTTGGGATATAACTATTTGCCTCTATTTAGCTTTTACGAAATTTTTAACTTACATTGGTTTTAATAATATTTCCTAGAATTAAACAAATTTATATCGACTGTAGACTCATGTATATATCAACCTTCATAGGGAAATCTTATTTCGACTCCACCAACCAGTGGGACTATTCTTCCAGGGATCACACAAAGAACTGTCATCGACACATAGGCTTGGTTATGTTGTGCTAAAATATGTTCTTTCGATTGGAATTTGGCTCGTAAGAAACTAAATACTCTCTCTGTGTTTGTAATTTGTTATGTCAATTCCTTGAATACGGTATTAAAGCTCATTAAGAATGTACACGAATGAGGCATGTGGTTGTCTAACATGGTGAGGCAATTTTTGACCTGGTTCTCATTAAGAATGTACATGCCATTAGATTTGTATTTGCATTCATGTTAACAGAGTAAATGCGTGTTTTAATTGCCTTTGTTACTGATGGTGTGACATGTGTGTAGCTACTTTTCTCTTTGTGTTTTGGCATTAATATTCTTAGTAATATTTTGTAGCTTATTTTTCTTTTTTCAGAGAAATATTACGTTGAGTATGACATGGGATTGTGTACTTTCTAATAGTTTGAAATATCCAAGGTTAATTTGACCTAATGTGACTATTTAAAATAACATTCAGTAGCTTGAACTTCTCATATTTATTTTTGTTATCTATTCACTACACATCTTTTATTGGCTTTGTTTTTATTATTATTATTATGTTTTACGATTGGCAAAGACCGAGAGGATTGAAGGCCATGGGAAGTAGTATGAAGAGCGATTCAGAATGACGGTGAAGGATGGATGGGGATTGGGTGTTTTGGTTCACTTTCTTCTTATTTTTTGTGTTAAAATCCTTTGGATTTTTATTTCTCTTCTTTTTTTCTTTTTTTCCTCTGATCTGCTAGGGGGTTGGGTGTTTTGGTTCACTTTCTTCTTATTTTTTGTGATAAATGGGGGAGTGGTGAGAGAGAGAAGAGGGTAATGTTATTTTGTGGCTTTGTATATAAGGTGGTAATTTTTTGATTGAGAATTGTGATTCAATTTTTGGATATGTTATTTTGTGAGAAATGGTGATTGGATATTAAATTGAATGGAAAAGTAAATTAATGTTATATTTGCTATTTGAATGGGAGTTATTATTTCATATTAGTGCTATTTAGTTTTATTACAGGTGTTCTTTTAGTTTAATCACATAAAATTAGCACAATTTCACAACAAAAAAAAGAAGATAAGACGACGTTTTTAAAACGCCACTATAAGGGTTGGAGTTTTTAAAATTAAAAAAACCTATGACGGCATTTTAAAAACGTCACTAAAACCATAGTGATGTCACAGTACTGTTAGGTAGGACATTTGGCGGGGTTTTTAAAAACATCACCTATACTAATACAGCGACGTTTTTCAAACGTCATAAAGCTATAGCGACGGCCGCATTGTCGGCGTTTGGTACTAAACGTCACAAAAAAAATTAGCGACGTTTTTAGTACCTATAGCAAATTACATTTTTGGTGATTAAATTTTTAGCCATCAAAGTTTAATCGCCAAAGCGTTTTGCCAACTAAACTTTTTAATCGCCAATTTTGTCGCTAGATGATTGTCAGAAAAGGTATTGGCGACCAAAAAATATTTAGTCGTTGAAAGTATTCAACGGATGACTAATTTTTTAATCGCCAAAAGTTTTCAATTGGCGACTAATTTTTTAATTGTCAAAAGTTCATAATAAATTTACATTACATTTTCAGCGACTAACATTTTTTGTCGCCAAAAACTTAAACCATTTAGGGCAATCAAACTTTTAGTCACTAATTTTCTTTTTCTATTTATCTTATTTCTTTTAGCTACTAAATGGTTTAGTCGCCTGAAGTCTAGTTTTTTGTTTGGCCACTAAAATTTTAGTTGCCTATCATATAACTTTTTTTTTTTTTTTTGACTACTAAATATTTTATTTAGTCACCAAAAGTGTTCTTTTTTTTTTTTTTTTCTATTAAATCATTAGTTGCCTAAAGTCTTTTTTTTTATAGCCACTAAATATTTAGTAGCTAAAAGATTTGTTTCCATTTAATTCTTTTTTTAGCAACTAACTATTTAGTCGCTAAAAATATTTACTCCATTTTTGGCTACCAATTGTTTAGTCGTCAAAAATATCATTTTATGTTTTTTTTTATATAATTAATTTGTCCATAACCTGTATGTATCTCATGCAACCTGTAACATGTATACAAACAAAACAATACATATATATTATCACCCATTCCACGATCTGCATCTATTTCACTTATAACCATCCAAACAAAAGAATAACTTTTAGGCCTTAGGGCTTGTTTGGGAAGTGCTAGATTAGTATATTTTTTGACTTTTTATGAAAAAAGTGAAACATGGGTTGGGTTTGAAGTGATGTGGTAGAGAGATGATGCAACTTAAATAAGATGATTGTGACTATGTCAAACAACCACTAAAAAAGCCAAAAAGTTACTAAGGCCTCGTTTGGAAACATGCTATTTTAGTAACTTTTTGACTTTTTGGCTAAAATGTGAGGTAAAAAAAATTAATATGTTTGGAGTGGGTTTTTGACTTTTTACGAAAATATGTGCAAAAAATAGAGAGAAAATAGAATCTTTGACCTTTTGGTATAGGTTATAGGTTTTTTGGCATTTTTAGTAACTTTTTGACTTTTCGGCTAAAATGTTATTCAAGGGTAACTTGTTGGAGAAGCCACCAGAGCAAAATTATTTTTTTGTTCTTTGAATTCAACTACCCAAAAAGTGAAAAGGATAAAATTGTCATTTTGATTTTACTACAATATTTTATTACACATCTTTTCGTAAAAACTCAAAAAGTTATCCCAAACATATATATTTTTTTCCTCTACTTTTTTAATCAAAAATTCAAAAAGTGCACTTATATAGTATATCCCAAATGACTACTTAATGTAAACATTGCATACAAACCAAGTATATTCCAACTTAAAATAATAATTTCATACAAAACAAATAATCATACGAAAACCATGTCCTTTGTACATAAAAATATATTTACTACTATGCGAAATGGCCATTTGGCATGGTACAAATTACCATGACAAAAGGTTATCTATATACCATGACAATAATTTACCTGTTCGATGTCAAAAATATTCTGTTCCCTGCCAAATCCTATATGTACAATTAATACAAATTCACACTAAAAATAGAGGACGACAAAAAAACGAGATTACACTGAAGTGTAAATGATCCTCTGTACACAAAATTGGAACATCCACATGTCCATGCCAAAAGCCATCTACCAAAGAAAAAAAAAATTCACCTATTAGTTCCATATAGCATTTGAGGATAATGTCACACTATCTACGAATAATCTGACTATTTTAAAACTTGTAATGTGTTTCATAAGTGTCCAAGTGTTGCGAAGTATCCATCAACATTACTTTTTTAGAAGTATCCATACTTCTTAGGTACAAATAAAATGCTAAGTAAATTGTTTCATACATATCATTTTCAGCTATCAAGATAGCTTTTTAATTGCTTTTTAGCTGCTATTGATTTTTAGGAGAGTTTAGTTTTGTTGTTGGCTTTTAGTTTTGCTCCCACTGTGTAAAGAGAATTCACCCCTACAGTGTAAAGAGGTTTCACCCCTTTCAACTTTATTTAATTATTAGAGGAAGGAAAAAATAAAATAAAATAAAATTCCATGAAACAGGATTGAAGTAATAAGCAATCAACAATTCAGTGCCAGAAATCACAGATATCTGCACTTTGACATAGACATCTTCATTGGCATAATATTTAGGGAACCAAATGCAAACAAAGGTATTAAAACCACAACTTAAAAAATGTTGACCCAATCTGTTATCTCCAATTCTCCATAGCTTTTAGATTGCATCCTTAGTCCCTCTTTCACAATCCAAGGCTCACCCATTGGAAGAGGGAGGGGTGTGACAAGATGTAAAGTTATAGCAATTAAAATACTAACAGCTCACAATACCGGACAACAACAAAGTACTTGAAATACTCTCAAATTGGATATGTATATACCAGCTTCATAAGCTACCTATGACAATGAACTTCTCCAAAAATAAAAATAAAAACTACTACTTAGGTCAATGAAGGAAATGATGCAAGTGACGAGTACACATACTTGCTACTTCCAGAAGCATAAAGTCATATAAGAAATTCCTACAATTATAAGGACTTTTACCACATCAAATTGTTGACTACATGGCTCCATTCTCTCAAAATCCCAGACTAGATGATTAGATGGAAAGAACTAATTGTAATGTTGCTAGAAAAAAAAAAAATGTTGATGCTTCCACAAATGGCACGTATACAAACCTATAAAAAAGTTTTTTTTTAATTTTTTTTTTCTATTTTTATAATTTTGGTACACTAAGATGGGTACGATCCTCAACAGAATCAAATAATCCATTAATTTACCAACTTTTTGGTCAGAAAAAGTGGAAGGGGGCTTAAATCAATACTTCAAAAGACTAACAAAACAAAATGGAAGTTTTGGCACCGTTCAAGAAACATGATCAGCAGTTTAGAAGCATAAGATCAGTCACTCATTCCAAATCAACATTATTTATCTTCATATGTTAAATACCTCTCCCAGATTATGTTGTAAGCAGGAGCCTTGTGCACAAGGTACAACTATATACATTAACTTGGAGGAGAATAAAGATATAAGTTAACTTTACCAAAAGCATTATTAAAATATTGTTGATTTTGAAAATTTTACTAAAGTTGTCTTGACCCCAACCTATTTCACAATCTAGACCCATTTCTTCACAAGTCACACACCTTACAAGAAATAGATGATGAAGCAAAAAATTCAATTATAAGCCTAGACTTGGAATGGAGGCTCTGAAAGCCTCCATTTGAAATAGAGGCTCTATAATAGGAAGCCTCCACTACAAAGGAGGTTTTTCCCATTGCAAATTTTATAATAACTACAATATATTAAAAAAATAATTGGCCTTTATATAAGAATCCATTTTGAAAAGTTACTTGATTGATATTCAAAGTTTCTTGAATTATGATTATCTACAAAATATATACTTGTGTCCTGCCTTTTTATTATACAGGAATGTTCAAATGAGTTTTCAAAGCTAGTGGCTACATAATTTTTGTATGATGTCATTCACATCTTACAACTGGAAACTTAAAATTTTCCATTTCCTTTCATCTCAAAATTTATTTGTATCACTCTAGAACGACTAAAATAACCACATAGAGAGAGAGAATAATAATTTAGGGTGATGCAAATAACACTCACTTATGTTTCTTGATAGCATTATTGTAACAATCCCGACCCATGATTAACGTTAATCCATGTTTAATTATGCCTAATGAGTAATTAAAGTGAAATATGTTACCTTATTTGTGTTTATATCTGTTTAACGTAAAAAGATCTATTCATGTTTCTGTTTCGGTTTCGGTTTGTGAAATGA